CGCGGGAGCACACCATCAGCACTGAGGAGGGGAGGCTTCCACCATTCTGAGTATGTTTCAGTCACAGATCTGCCATGACCCAGAGTGCCTGGATAGAGGGAGGAGATAGAGAGAGTGGGGCAAAGGCAGGGTGGCGTGTCTCCACTGAGGCAGTTGTGCTGTTTCTCTGTCCTGGGAACTGTGCCTGAAGCTGGATTTGAGAGGGTCCTCTTTATCCCATTCAAAGCTTTGCACTGGTCTTGCTGTCCAGGGAGTTGGAGCTCTGGGCCCTGTATCTGGAAGGATGTGACCTGGAGCTGGTGAGTCTCCCACCCCAGCTCTGTCATGCCCTTTCATTACTCTCACCTGTAACAATCTGTTACTTTAAACATATTTACTGCCCGTTTCCCACCCAATCCCAGGACTGCTTACTGCTGCTGCATTCTAGAGCAGCAGTGGTATGTGGCACAGGACTTGCCCTTCTGAATGAACAAGTGAAGAGGTGAGCAGATGATTGAGTTGCCTGTGTCCTGTATGGCAATGATGCTGACGCTCAGTGCAGCAGTGAGCCTCATCATGACAGGACTCCACTCCCTTGCCCTTGCGCTGGGAAAGCAGCTCAGGGTCCTTGCCCCACCCCACTCTTCTGCCCCTTCTTGAGACTGGGGGTGGGAAAACTCAGCCTAGGTCCCTTTTGGTGTGTCTTTTTCTGCTCTCTGAGCTTTCCTAGACCCTGGTCTGCTCAGCATGTGGTCCTCGTGCCTCATTTTCTGCCTCTAATTTTTGCTGCCAGCCCCTCTGCCTGCTCCAGGGCGCTGCTCAGCCCTGTGTCCCCATCCACTGCTGCCTGCTCCTTGCAAGGGATGCTTGGGTGCTTCCTCTGCCCTCCCCTCTCTCCTGGGCCTCACCTGGTCTCTTCCTTACTGAGGGGATCAGAGTGCCCAGCAAACTGATAATCAAAATGGTGTCACAAAAAGCCAAGGTGACAGCAGTGGATCTGCTATTTGACATTTTAACAGAGCTCTGAACTGCAGAGCCTGCAGCATAAAGGGTCTGGAGACAGATGAACAGGGTCTCAAATGAATAAGGATTCTCAACAGAAATAAGTTAGGGAAACAGAGTTAGGGCATTCTAGGGTACAGGCAGTCAAGTGCTGTTTATGTGCAGCCGTGGCTAAAGCATGTGCTGAATGGCAGGCTGGTCTGTAATAACCCAGGCTGCACTTGGCTTGTTTGGATAGGACACTGGATTGTCTCCCAGTTAGCCACGTTGGATTTGCCAGTGACACAGAGATGGAGGAGTCCTGGGCCTGAGGGAGTCTTTTCTGCATCAAGGAAAGTAAATATTCCCGAGGCTGCCATGGAGGCTGCACTGTGAGAAAACTGTTCTGCTGGGGACTTTACCGATGTTTGCTCATGCTAAACAATCAATTTTGTAAAATAAACACTTGGAATATAAGATTATTGAAAAAATACAGAGGGTCCTAGAGCTCATCCTGAGTTGGAGTAAGGGGAGTTGTGCCCAGAGTCTGGAAGCAGCATGAAGGGGCAGCTGGCATGGACTGCGGGCTGAGAGGGCAGCTCAGGTCACCACGGCTGAGCAGGAGGCAGATCTCAAACAGGAAAAGCAGAGACTAAGGGGGGAAAGTAGAGGAGGCTGGAAGGAGGATGGGAAGAGGAACATGCCAGGCCCTGGGGTAAGGGGTTGAGGCCAAAGACGTAATTACAGGGCTGTGCTGGAGATGGGTTTGAAAAGGAGGCCAGCTGGGGGCCTCCAGCTATCTGGGAATCAGCTCTATGATTCTGAACCCCAGGAGGCGATGTCACTAAAGCCTGTCAGATGAGAAAGATATTGCTTTCTGGGTAGCAGTGGCAAATACAACATAAAAATAGGCTCCTGAGTTGAACCCCTCATGTTGCTCAGGGATTGATGACACCTGGAGTATGTGAAACATATCACTGTGGGGCTGACAAGGGGGAGATCACAGTCCAGATATAATATTCAGAGGTGCAGTGGTTCCCTGGCTACCCAACAGTCTTAGAATAGCATTTGAGACCCATGTTAGAGCTTTCTGCCAGGAAAGGTACACCCCACACACCCATCTCTTACCACAGAGAGTCTGTAGCTGATTATGAAAATTTAATGCATCCCTTCATTTGCTACTTATTAAGTACTTTTTAAAATCTGTAGATATAACCAATAGGCTTCAAATCCTATGTTCAGAGACTGATGAGGCACCACGCTTGGCTGAGAACATTGCATGTTCCGTACATTTATAGTTTAGATTACCACAAATAGGTATTGGAATTAGAAAATCATGGGTTCAAATTTCAGCTCAACATTTATTAGCTAAACTATTTGAAACTGACATCTTTAAGCACCCTGAGCCTCACTTTCTATCACCTTTGCTGCAGAGCTGGTGACCGTTTCACAGTACTGTTGTGGCACAGGACTGGTAGGCCCTCAGCAGGTGGGGTCTGCCATTTCCAACCCTTATCCACGACTCTGTAATCAAAGTACTTTGAAAACAGAGAGTTCTTTTTAAATTTTTTGTCAAACTAATTAGACAGCTAAGACTGATCTAAATAATTAATGTGAGCATTTTTTCTTTGCCTTCATTATTATTTTATTTGGTGTGAATATTTGTGTGTAATACTTTGCTGCAGAAAACAGTATTGTGTTTGATTACAGAATGCTGCCCAGTCCCTCCTGGGATTGGTCCCATCTTAGTTTTCTGGTAAGAAATTGTAGGGTCATGGTTATGCCATTACCTTTGTTCACACCCACAATGCACACACAAACACATTATCATTAACGAGAATGTGAGTTTCCATTTAGCAAGTTTCCTTCTCCAGACTGAGAATGAAAACCTGGCAGATGTACTCCTTGTTTTGTTTAAAAGTGAGTAGTTACACTGCATGCACCTGTTACTAGGTGTCCTGAAATTATAAAATAAAAAGAGAGCCCTGCCCCTAAGAAAGTAGGAGGCTAAGATTTGGAATGGGACTGATACACAAATAATTTTAACACAAGGCAGAAGGTGTTAACTTCCCTGATTGAGAATCTCAGGCAGGGTAACTTCACATCTGGGTGAGGGAGAAAGCTCCCTAAAGGAGGGGACATGGGAGACAGTCCCCTGTTGGGAGGCAGGGCAGGGTATTCCAAACCCAGGCATTACTCAATCAGGGGAGGATGAGAACACAGAGTGGAATTAATAATGTGTGGAGAGTAATAGCAAGTGGTCCAGTTTGGTGGCACAAAGTTTGGGGCAAGGAGGTGCGGATAAAGCTAGGGCGGGGCTAGGAATGAGCAGAGCCCTGGAGGCCAGAGATTGCCAGGGACAGTTTGTGCTCATTCTGGCTAATGAGGGAAACGATGCTGTTGTCAATTTTTTTTTCTGGTCACCAAAGTAATATATGAAGAGAATTCAAATTGGAAGAGAATTTGGAAATAAGTATATATAGAACTAAGGATACAAAGTTTTAGTTGTGTAGGATAAGTAGCACAGGTACTATAGGTAATCAGTGTACCAAATGCTTGAAATTTCTTAAGAGAGTAGAATGTAGGTGACCTCACCATAGAAAAAGGTAACCACATGAAAAGACAGATATATTAATTAGCCTGACTGCAGTAATCAGTTCACTATGTAAATCAAAACATCATGCTGTGCACCTTGGATGTATAAAGCTTCAATACAAAAATTTTTAAAAACATGAATGTCTAAAACTCAGATATAGCCATTGTTAATATTTTAAAACTCATCTTTCTGGTCTTTTTTCTGTATTAAATACATGGCTACCTAGTTTGATCAATTTTGAGAGTAATATATCAATGAAATCACATTCCTTCAGATTATTAAAAATAGCTGATGGGTGTACTAACCTAGAAAAATAAATATAATAGCAGCACAGTGCATGGGTAGTTGGAGACAGGAGAATCCACAAATAAGAAAACCATTAAAGATGTCATTTTCATGATCAAGAGAGAGTAAGTCCTTGAACTAGGGTGGTGGCTATCAATAAAAAGGGGACACTGGATGAAAAAAATGTATTCCCCAGGACAACAATTCAAGTGGTTTAGGAGAGAGAAGAAAAAATGAGGGGTACCTTCCAATTCTGAGCCCAGATGACTGGGGAGTTGGGAACCACAAGCATGGTATTGTGGGAGGGGAGGCTTGTGTGTGAGTCTCTAGGCCCGTTCAGAGTGTGGTGGTGCTCAAGTGGTTAGTGATACGGGCTGGGACTCAGGGGAAGACACAAATCCAGATTTAAATTCATTTATATTTTCAAGGTTGTTTCATTAAAGAAGATGGTGAGATTTCTGAAGGAGAGAATGGAGAAATTTTTCAAATTAAAAGATCAGACGGGAAATGTGGGAACGTCCAAGTTTAGAAGATGCCAGAAACATAGGGAGCTGGAGCCACAGTCAGATGAGGAAAGTGAGAACTGGAGAATTTAGACAGTGCAGCATCCTTGCAGCCAAGGGAGGAAGTGGCTTAAAAATGGGTTATTTGTAGCCTGAGATGATACTGAGAAGAAAAAGAGGATGAGGATTGAGCACACAAGATGGAAGGAAGTAACATCTAAGGTGCTTAGCACAGCTCCTAGCATGAGGAAAGAGCAGTAAGTAGCCCCTGTTATTTAATCAATGGACAATTACTCTGGGCAGTTAGGAAGTGTTTACCACTTCATCCTCAGACCCAGCCAAATGTCTTACACAGGTAAAGCTTAAGACTGGGTTAAATAATATTATGACAGCATGGAAGGCAGACAGGAAGAGTTTAGATGTGCAATGCTATAGAGGCCCATAAACCTGTCCATCCCAGCTGGTCTGCTCCTTGATCCGGGGAAACTTCTTCCTTTTGGGAATGTGTCTTCTGGACACTGAGATAAACCATGCACACAGGTTAGTGTACTTGGAAAGCCAGGCTAGCCACTAGGTCTAGAGAGAGGTGGATGGTGATTTTCCACTAAGATTTCCTGACCTCTCACAGGTGTCTCAGAGATCTGGTGCTGGGTGCAATGAATAACAACAGCGTTGTCAGGGAATTTGTGCTCCTGGGATTTTCTCATCTCCGTGAGTTCCAGGCTGTCCTGTTTGCTCTCATCCTGTTGATGTACGTGCTGACGCTGCTGGGCAACCTGGCCATCATCTCCCTCACCTGTCTTGACTCCCGCCTGCACTCACCCATGTACTTCTTCCTCTGCAACTTCTCCTTCATGGAGATGCTGGTCACCTCCACTGTGGTACCAAAGATGCTGGTGGACCTGCTGTCCACTCACAGGACCATGTCCCTGGCGGAATGCCTGACACAGTCTTTCTTCTACTTCTCCCTGGGCACCACCACCTTCCTCATCCTCACAGTCATGGCCTTTGATCGCTACGTGGCCATCTGCCGCCCCCTGCACTACCCCACCATCATGAGTGGTCCCGTTTGTGTGAAGCTTGTGGTGGCCTGCTGGGCAGTCGGGTTCCTCTCCATCGTTTCCCCAACTCTGCAGAAAACACGGCTCTGGTTCTGTGGCCCTAAAGTCATCGACCACTACTTCTGTGACTCTGCCCCACTCCTCAAGCTCTCCTGCTCTGACACCCACCACATCGAGCGCCTGGACTTCTTCCTGTCCTTGCTCTTCGTGCTGACCACCATGCTGCTCATCCTCGTGTCCTACATCCTCATTGTGGCTGCCGTGCTGCGCATCCCGTCCTCCTCTGGACGCTGCAAGGCCTTCTCCACCTGTGCCTCCCACCTCACTGTGGTGGTTCTGGGCTATGGCAGCGCCATCTTCATCTATGTGAGGCCAGGCAAGGGGCATTCCACACACCTCAACAAGGTGGTGGCCTTGATGACTGCAGTGGTGACCCCTTTCCTTAACCCCTTCATCTTCACTTTCCGGAATGAGAAGGTCAAAAAGGTCATCAAGGATGTGACCAAAAAGTTCTCCCTCAGAGACCTGGCAGCCTGCAGGTGAGAGGGCTGGAGAGCAGCTGTCTAGCCACACGAGTAAATGCCCTTGCTGCAGGTGGACACACGGGTGCCCAGGCTGGGGCTCCTCAATCTCCCCCTTTTTGGTCCCTCCTGTTCCCTCAGCTTCATGCAAGTCTGCTCCTGTGCTACAGGTCACATGTCATTAGAACACCTCAAAGGTGTGTCTGTGAGCCTGAGATAGTCAAGGGATGGGTGATTTTGAGCGAGCCATGATGTGAATATGGTGGGGTGAAATCTATCAAATGAGATAGTCCAAATAAGTCTTAGTACAGTGTCTGGTGCATGGGAACAGCACGGCAAATGCAGCTATTACTATTAAAATGTCCTATTAAAATCTTTTCTTCTTTAGTCTGGCTTTAAGGTTTTACTTACATTTTCCTTTTTTTTATTTTTTGCATTTCTTTGTGTACTGCTTTTATTTGGGGTGTGTTCCTGTCTCAGGGACTAGCTCCAGGGTCTAGGATGGGGTTCTGAAAAAGGGAGCTTCTTTAAGAAGAATAGAGAGGCCTTGCACTCCCACACAGAAGCTGCCACGTGCCCCCAGTAGCCCCCTGTCTGGACTGCTGCTGGACAGAAACACCCCTCATACCCAGGCTGCTCATTGCATCCTTCTTGCCCCAATGCCTCTTGTTTTTCAACAAAAATGGCTCTTTAAGAATTCCTCCCTGAACCCTCTTACAGGGAGTCATGGGACCTCATCATTTTCACACACTCAAGAATGGGAAAGCTGAGCTGCCTCATCAGCCTCACACTTGCTGCCCTCCTAAGGGCTGAAATCTGGAGGGACGACCTGAGAGCAGCCTGGCCAGATTACGAGGGCCCCTGGGTAGTAAAGCCCAAACGTTAGAAGCAAGAGGAGAAGGAGGAAGTGGGGCAGAGCTGGTGACTTGGGCAACAGGGTGGGGGCCTGATGGGAGCGGCATTTGTGGGAATCCATGGGTGGTCTAGGAAGTCATGGGAAGACAGTGAGGGTAGGAACGGCTCTGGCATCTGATTTCTTATAGCAGGATGTGGAGTTTGAACTGGGCTGGGATACGCAAAGTAGGTGCAAACTTCCTCTCTTCTAAAGCTAGCTCTGTCCGCAGGACACCTAGAGGACAGTCCTTGGCCATAACCAGCAGCATGGGGAGTCACAGTGTGGTCCCCCAAGTAGAGCCAAGGCTGTGAAAGCCGCTGTGGTTGTAGGAGAGTGTTCTGGGATATGCAGCCTGCAGGCTGCAGGCTGCAGGCTCTCATTATTGCTGCCTTTAGCTTGATCTCTAAGAAGGGCATTATTTTTGTTTTTTAACCATCACAAACCGTTTTTGCTTTTGTAGGCCTTGTGCAGAAAGTAGGTAGATACTTCTGAATCTGCTCTATAGACCAGCAAGGAAAACAATATTTCAGCCTGAGAAGTTTGCTCCTCCAGCTCTCAAGGGACTAATTATTTGCCCTCCTTGCAAACTTTGTGAAAAACCGGAGAGCTAAGTGGGAAGTAATTATCTCTTTCTGAGATGCACAAACTTTCCTTCAGCTTCTCTTCCTAAAATAATCAGTACATGAATCACTTAGTGTCCCCCTGGGAGCCACCTTCCTGCTACTCTCTCATCTCTGCACATTCCTCTCTTAAAAAATTAAAAATAATCAACAGCCTTTGGCAGGTTATTGCCTGTTTTTCAAAGCGTTTCCTCAGGCATGGGCTCTCGACTAGTCAGATCTGGGTAAGGTGACTTGCCCTGAGTCTCCCTGGCAATCACCCAGCATGCCCAGCATCATTCAGCAGCATCTTCCCCTGCCCGTGGTCCCTGACTGTTCAGCGTGCCATCCCGGCACTGGTCCAGGCATCTCCTATGAGCCCGTGAGAAATGCAGAATCTCAGGCCCTACCCATGAGCTACTGAATCAGAAACTGCATTTTTACCAGATCCTGAGTGATTCCTGTGCACATTAACTCTTGAGCAGCACTGGTCTAGACTACGTGCTGGTGGAGTTTTTAATCAGGAAATTTTGTAAGAAAGTCCTCATCCAATCTCAACAATATGAAAGGCATGGACAGAGGGAATGAGGGGACACACTTGCTGTTATGGAAGCCAATCTTCCTTGGTCACTTTCTCCAAGGTGTTATTTCTAGAGCTAGTAAGTGGGAGAACCCTTCCCCCAAACCCCAAGATTTTCATCCTAGCCTGACTTTAAACTTCTTGAGTGACTTTAGCCAAAAGGACCAGTCTCTGACTTGCTGCTGGGATCCCATGTGGACATGACCTAGGGCTGTCTAGACATCTTGGCTCCATGCATCTTCCATGAAGTGACAGGGGAAGTGATGTGCAGTGTCAAGGGAGGACCCTGAATAGACATCAACTAGAAAATAATTTTTAAAACGTTTTCCAACTTGCTAGAAGGAATCTTGGGATTCCACTTCTATGTCAAAGATGCTGTTATAAAAGTGTCCCCTGGTTTAAGTCATGATGTAACTAAAGCACAGCCTGGACTTGCAAAAGAGTTTGTGTGTCACCAGGCCCAGGTTGGGCATAGGTATCCCATGGCAGCCCGCTGATTACACTGGCTGAGAGACTGTTTGAACCAGGTCTGGGGCAGCACTCACAGCTGTGAGGGGCAGCCTGTTTCTTTGCTTCATAGATCTAAATTTTAGGATAAAACCCTTTTGCCAACCCTTGGCATGACTCCCACTAATGTTCAGTAAATCCTGCCTTTTTGAGTTACATGGGCAGACCTGCAAACCAGTGAGGACAGTTGTGCACTCCCCTACAAAATATTCAGATTTACAGTGGGATGTTGCCATTGAGTCATTTCTAGACCTTTTGTCATCTACATTTCTTTTTCTGCTTCCTGCTGTGATGTGGGTTTTGCAACTGGTGTGGTCCGAGTTTCAATGTAGAGCACAGTAGGGAACCTCTGCCCTGGCTTTGTGTACTGCATTTCCATTACCATCCACTAAGATGACATGCCATGCTTTAGGTGACAGTGCTAAGCCATGTTCCAAATTCATTTACTGAATACCTACCACATTTTAGGCACAGAAGATACAAGATATATAGCATTGTGCATAATTTAAAGAGCTCAGAATTTAGTGCAGGAAGACAAACTATGTGTTACTTACCGTAGACAAAACACTCTGGGAGTGCCTCATTCTGTCTAGTGAAGTTGAAAGTCAAATTGAAATGACTTTTTGGCCTTGTAGTGGAGCTCTGAGGTATAAAGAGCAGTTTCATAGTCTGAGAAGAGGAGAAGTGAATTCCTAAGAGAGGAATATGTCAAATAGCACGGACATAAAATGGTTTACTGTGTAGTCAACCAAAGACCAAAAAGGTGAAATTAATGGGTAGACTTTCTGGACACTGTCCTTGGGTATTGTCACTAATCAGACACAGTCCCTCAGGGGACTTTAAGTGTCCTCAGCAAGATGCTCCACTGATTGAAATAATAGGACACATCTGACTATAAAAAGCTTCAGAGTGGTTACAGACGACATCAGTGTGGAATCTTTGCATGCTAGGGCAATTTATTATATTTGCCAAAACTACTATTTCAGTGCTGCAATTTTAATGCCTTCAGTTTGCAAAGACCCTAAGTGGGTTGAGGGGGCTTAACATTTCTGGAATGATTGCTGTCCCCCCTCTGTCAGCAGCTGAATTGGTCATGGGTTATAATTCTTTAGGGCTGCTTTGGTCAGGTCCTCTGATGAGAGGGAGGCATGGGGCTGGGGCTGATGGATGAAGGTTCTACTTTCTGGTCTCTGCACATGTGTCTGTGGAAGAAGAGAGGAGGGAACATGTAGACGGAGCTGGTAACAAAGCCAAGGACCTCATATACACTCCTTTGGACTCAGGGGTGGAGACCAAAGAACTTCTAGGTGAATTTTACGCCCAATGAGGGAGGTGTCAAGAATGCAGGTGTCAGCAGGGAAGGCAGCTCCCCTCACACAGAGAAGCCTGTGTCCATCAAAAGGAGGATAAGATGTAGCATAACAGAGTGGAAATAATCACAATAATTTATACATATGCAACTAAAAGAATGAAATTAGAACATTCCCAACACAAAGAAACGTCAAATGCTTGAGGTGATGGATATCCAAATTATCTTTATTTGATAATTACACATTTTGTGCCTGTATCAAAATAATTAAAGAATAAAATTGATTTTTGTATCTTGATCTCGTATTCGGGAACCTCAGTGGACTCATTTATTAGCCGTAATGAAGTTTTAGTTGACCTTTATGATTTTTTTATGTATTAAAGATCACACAGTCTGCAAATAGAAGTAGTTTCACCTTTTAATTTTCAATTACTTTTATTTTCCTTTCTATTTACCCAGCTAGAACTTCAGCACAATGTTGAATAAAAGTAGTGAAAGTAAAAGAAAGGAAGGAATTTGTAAGTTCCCTTAGAAGAGCAATGCCGTGAGGTTTGAACTTGGCAAGTGTCTAACTCAAGAGAAGGAGAAAAACAAGACCCAGATAATGCTAGCGATGTTTGGGAGCCCACTGCAGAGCTGATTGTTAATTGTCAGGAATTAAATACAGCTGTTATTAAAAATTATATAACAAGGAGAAGTAATCTAATAAAATATGCTAAACAAATACTGAAAACTCCTAATTACTATGCTACGTGTCACTGTGATTGTTCATGTCACTTGTCTCAGGATGGTGCAAATACTACATGATGCTCTACCACTGGGCAGCTTCTCTTAACTCCAAGTTCATGAAATCAAGTGGGCACTTTAAGACTGGAATTCAAAGATACACTGACCATCAAAATATTGGCAAGTTCTAGACGTTAGCAAATGCAGAGGCAGGGGTTAAAGTTCCATCAGAAGACCATTGGACCTAGACTCTCATCTTTCCTTGTACCTGTCAGGCATTGTGGCTAAAACCACATATACATAAGAAAATGTAATGTCTAAAGAAAATGCAGTGCTTAAAATATAATCAGAAAACACACTGCAAAGACCATGTTTACATCAGAAAATGTAAGGCCCAAAGAACTAT